TTCTTGCACTTAATGAAAATTATATTGAAATGCTTTCAGCATTAGAAAGCTTCTCCTTATTGGCAAAGGGAAGAATAGTGTACACACCAAAAAATAGCAAGATGATTTAATGATAAAAAATGGGACTTTATTTCTGAAGCAAATTGGAACAAAAGTAAAATGGAGTTTGATATGAACAACTCTAGGAACAATAGCTGCCTGCAAAGAAATATAAATATACCTAAATATACCAGAGAAAAGCTTTAATCTCAGTGTTTTAGTTAGTCAAGAAAAGGAAAATTAGTTATAACAATTGTCAGTAATGTTTTTTTAATTCAATCTTTTGAGTACAATCATGTTAAGCATAATTTTCTTTTAAGGAATTCTGTATTTTTATTCAAGACATAATATGCTTCAGAACTGATATAATACCTCAGACAGGCTCTAGACTGCAATAACAGTAACACCAATAAGTTTAGGAGCTGAAACCAGATTTTTTTTTAAATTTATGAGACAACACTGATTTGATGGATATCACATGTATTTTGTATCAGAAAGGATGCTGTTTGATGATCATTCCTTAATGCTTTTCCAGCTGTGTATTTGACTTAAGTACAACTTGATGTAAAGTGCACTCTTTGCTGTGTGTGTTGCAGAAACACCCCTGGACTGTGAGGTTTCACAATGGTCCTCCTGGGGGCTCTGCAGAGGGGTCTGCAGAGAAACAGGGACCAAGATCAGAACTCGTTTTGTACTTCTTCAGCCTGCCAATAATGGAATGCCTTGTCCAAACCTGGATGAAGAAACAGGATGTGAACCAGAAAATTGTGTCTGAAATAAAGAAAAGATAATAATTAAGATAATTTAAAAGTAGGATAAGTTTAAATCTAAACTACATGTCAATCAATGTTCTTTATCATTTGGATACGCTGCACTATTTTGCTGAAAAGCTGCATTCGAGTGGGTTTGAAAGTTATTATTTAATATCAAGATTTTGCGGGGTTAAATTCCTAAGATTTAGTAGGACGACAGTACTGGATAATTTAAAGAACAAAAACCCCCAAATAAATCCTTCCTCCAAATACACTGTAAGTTCTTGGAGTACCCTCTAGTGGCAGAAAAGAAGCAATTTGGAAAGATCGTACTTCACATTTTTACTTCATAGTAAAAATCTTTCAATCACGAAGTCTAAACTAATAACCTCCTTAAATATTGTAATTTGTTTATCTATACCTATTTATACCTAGAAAATAGTTTTTCCTTCTAAATTATGTTTTTATAATTTATTGGCATTTTTGTCATCTTTCTAACCTTGCTTAATGTGCATTTCCTCAGAAACTACTTACAAAAGTCAGAGTGACCAGATGTTTGCAGTGTGGTTAAGACAATAATGGAACTGAGTAAACTTGTCTTGAGACTTTTGAATATATGAAAATGTCTTTTTATTTTTCTTTCTCAAAAGTGAGAAGAATAACTGCCACGAGGACACTCAGCCAACAAAATTACTAGGAAAAAATCTGAAGTGTGAATAGTAGTAGAAAACATCTGAGCTGAATTAAAAGTGTTAGCTGAGATTCAAAAGCTGATTGTTGGTGTGTGTCCCTCATTAGACAACTTTAATCTCAAAGTTAGCACTGTTGAGCATAACATAAATTATATAATTAACCTTATATATGCAGTAAATGTGTCCATGTTTCTTTATATGTGTTTGCTGCTATTTGTGTATATATTACCTAAAATTGAGGTATGCACAACTCTAACAAAACACATGTCAGAAACTGTTCCTGACTGCAAGTTTTAATGCTCAAATAACTTATAAAATGAATGCAACATCTGCCTTATGAAGAGCTGTGACTACCAAGTAGGAAAAGAATTTTGGAATAATACTTATTCAATAAAATAAGTTTTAAGTCAGCTCACAAAACTTTTACAGCACACTGCAATTTTACAAATATACAGCACAGGTACTGAACAGGAGAGTTGATTTGAATAGGTTCCTTCTGGAATATACCAAATACAAGATGATTTCTCTTGTCCTTAAAGGAGCACACTGTATTCTCCATAGGGTTAAATATTTCTCTGTATTTTTTTTTTTTCCAGGAGAGATATCTTGTAAAGATACAAATAAATTTGAAACTTTATCAGACTAAACTTCACTGGTCCTGCAAATGATAAATACACAATTGTTAGAACTAAGTGTAGGAATTTCTGCTCTTCTCTCATTCTTCAGATTCCCACTGTTTGTTCAAAATTGTTCACTTACACAAGTTGTTCAATCACAAAATTGCACACTTGCTATTTTTTAAGTTCCCTCTATTTCCACTCTATAATGGGAGTAGTGTTACTGCAGTATTTTGTATTTAGTTAAAGGTTAGTATTTTTATTTCTTCTTTTTATTAGTTTTAACCATTCTGTGTTTTCTGTTACACTTATTTACTACCTGTTTACACATTTATCATCATATCAGAAAACATAAGCATATATTGTAGTATATATTTAAATATTCTCAGAGGGTAGGAGTTTATTTCAAATTGATCGTCAAGAGACAAATTAAGCTCAATAAAGTTTTTGGGCAGATATCAGATGCAATTCTAAATTATGCCTTAGGAAAAACAAGCTCAAAACCTACAAGGTATCCCTTGAGGTACTTTCCTGGAAATTCTCTAAACACTACAGTTTTTCTTCTTCACATGCCCAGAATAAATACAGGCCCAGACCCAGTAAAAGAATACCTGCATTTGTATTAACACACATGCCATGAACCTGGGATTTCACTCCTACAGGATTTAATTTGAGTGGAGGATTCCCAGTGTTTGCTCAAACTCCTGGAGACCAAAGTTTTCCAAAGTACACTGAAGGAGAAAGGATGAGATAAGGACAAGGAGTAGAAAGAGAATATCTAACCAGCACACCTCAGAAAACTCCAGTCAGTGATACATAACTTTACTATTTTAGGGTGTTTACATACATGAATATTCACTGCATCTTCCTTCAAGAACAGAAGCTTCCTATGCAGCCAGTTACCTGGATATGGGGATTTTTGTAAGCTGTAAATTCAGGAGACCTTGGTAAATATATTCTTTAAGGATGCCCCTGTGCATTGCTTGGCCATAAATATAATTCCAGGTATTCCCTTTGGAAACCACAGGGATGGAGCCATTACTTGGCAAGACTGTGGATTCAGTGAATGAAATGCATTCTAGTGATGGAGCACATTTCTGATAGCATTTATCTATTAAACTGATTCATGAGGAACATTATCCCTGCACAGATATTGCTAGGACTTCGTAGCTTCAGCAGCCTTGGAATTCCCTTAAAGATTTTGGGACCAGGAAGAAACACAGAGAAGCTCTTCCTTCCTTTTCCCTTGTATCTCATGTTACAGATGGTTGGCAACCAAGATGCTGAGGTCCAAAATACATGAGATTTAAGGAAGGAAATAGGCAAATTAATTTCTGGGTTAAGCTAATCTCAGAAAGCACTTTGGAAAGAAGCTTGAAATGGATTTGTAAAGACAATTCTTTTCAAGAATATCTCACAGAAAGAATCAGCTTTGATGCCTTGGCAGATGTTCTTGCAGAATGAAAGATGTGGTTAATGTTAAAATGTAGCCACAAAAAAGTCACCACAGAATTAAACTGCGGTCCTACAAAAATAAGCAACACGAAATTAAATTCCTATAATGGAATAAGTGTGAAAACAAAGTATCTGAGACTATCTGATGCTATTTAAGGCAAAAAGCTTCATTTCATTATATTCCCAGTCCCATTTAATTGAAGTACATTGGGAATAACTGATCTGTCATGAATGATCCAACATAATAAAGTAACTCAGACTATTCCATGACAATATTTAACACTCCCAAGAAATAAATCTAACATTCAATACAGCAATTCTGGTATCAGCCAGATGTTGTTCAATGGGATTTTTGCAGTATGCAGAAGTTCTGTCTGTGACAATTTACAGAACTTTGAATGCCTGAGACAAATTACAGCATTTTTACAGAATGCCTGAGACAAATTTACAGAACTCTGAATGCCTGAGACAAAAGAAAGCTCTCAGTATGCTGCACAACAACCTGATTACTTGGAGACTAAATTATTTTTGTTTGCTTGAAGTCCAGCAGCCCTACTGGACTGCTGGACTTCAAGCAAACAAAAATAAGTACAGAAAGTACAGAAGTACTAGCCAGCATTCACCAGCCAAAAGTACAGAAGAAATGTGTCCCTTCCAATGGGTGTGGGCAGAGTCAAGGATTAAGTGGTGTCACCTTGTATATCTTGTGTTCTACCACTGGAACTCAGAACTTCAGAAGCCACAAGTACTCAACAAAAAGCTAAAAAGATGATAGGTCAAGTAGCTCACAGCCTACAGACAAACCAATATTTCCTGCAGGTATGAGTATGGCATGGGAATTTATGCAGGTGCATGACAGTCAACATCACCTGTAGTAGAGGGGCAAAAGTCCAATATTATGAGATGAGATCCTGTATAATCAAAAATTATTTCTGATGCATAAGTGCTGAAGTAGTAAAGGAGTCCTAACATCTCCCCTGACATTCCTAAGGATTCAACAGCCATGAGATGCAATTTTTATCCCTCTATCCATATGGGGTCAAAGCAGTAATGTGTAAGGAATCAGTTCTCTTTGCCTGAGAACCTTTCAATATGGGGATGCTGATGGGTGATTTTTGGAGGTGAACTAATACTTGTGCTAAAACTTCCATGAAGATTCTGCATGCTGTGAAATGGAGTGAACCCAGGATGGTCCTAAACCTGTGCCAGTGCTACACAGACATTCCTTTATTGAGACAACTTCATAGATGGCAGGTGCAGTGAAGGGTAATAAACACGAATCACTCCTCCTTTTGCAGATGTGAAATAATCCAGTAGGAGTTTACCCCAAAATTTTTATTTAGGTTACAGATATTGAAGATGAAGGGTTGTGCACCCTTCTTCCTTGACACAAGAAAAATATGTGCTCTTGTGCAATTGGGATAACATCAATTTTATGAGGAAAGATGGGTCCTCCTGACTGGAAATTATTCCAGAGGTGGGTCCTCCCTGCTGGAAATGACCATTCAGACCCACCTTTCAGCCAGAGTGATCTCCACTTATCGGACAAGGAACGTTTAAGTGATAAATGAGTTTGCCATCAGACATACACATTGGTCAATATTAGTACAAAAAATAAAACTAAGAACCTCAATGACTGTTTGATTTACACCATAACTTTCTTCAGAGAAGGTATTAGGAAGTATCTAAGAAATAGTCATTCCTATATTAAAAATCTTATTCTGAAAATGTTCATGTTGTTATTTTCCCCTGCATTAACATTTTCACTAATGTTATTTGATTATTTAATGGATTATTTGATTATTCAAGTTCTTTCAACTTCTTTAGAGTTCTCTTATGTAGTGCCAGTGGGTTTTAATCAGGTGACTACATTTGTACAATGATTTAGGATGGAAATTAAAAGTTTGCTTAATAAAAGAGGAGTGAAGCTCTGGAATAATCACCCAGAATTGATGGGAAATAATAACTTCATTTAAGTGGAAAATGAGCAGTTTATGGAAAGAGGTAGCCAATGTAGTTGCCTAAAGTAATCTAGGGAACTGATCTCAAGCACCTGAGAGGCCCTTTCAGCTTCATGCTCTTCTAAATATATAAAATAAATTTTAATCTAGATGCTGGGAAAGAAGAAAGAATTTTAAAGGTGTCTTTTCTGTGTTATCTCATTCTCCAGAACATGCTGTAGTTATTTATAAATGTGTAACCACCAGCTGCCTTTTCTCACAGTTTTTTTTCCTCTCAAAAATACTCTGATAAGCAGCAAACAAGGAACAACCACAGGACTACAGGCATTTGTATGTAACTATCTTCAAAAGCAGTACAGCAGGGATATATAAAAAACATGAAAAGCAAATTAATAGGATTTCTTATGAACTTCTGGATTTCTTTTTCACTTGCTTTGTATTTTCACATTGGAGAAAGAGAAGAGAAATGCATAATTGAAGATATTCCCAGTGACACCCTGGTAGTTGGTAGGTACCTGTCAATGCTTTATGATGATCTAACCCAGGCAGTAACAAAGATAACTGGAAATGTAACAGCAATTTCTGTGACTGATGAATATGGTAAAAAACCAGAAAAGGGCACTCTGAAAAGAACTCCCTGCAGCAGGGATTAGGTTTAAAGTCCTCAAACATTGTGTGTATACATCACACAAAGAAAAGCAGGTTTTCAGAGTGCTTTACTGACTAAACAGAGAAAAAGAATGTTTTTTAATTCTACAGCTGTGGAATTGCTGCTTCCATGTGTGCCTCTGCACGTTCTGACTGATGTACTCATTCATATCAGGATTTCTGTAACATGGTTTTCCCCATATGAATGGGAAAGTTACTTTTTGGATAAGTGCTGGTCTGAAAAGAGACAATTCACGATGCACTGAAGTTTCATTTCTCCTCTGATACAAGAAGCACATTAAATTAATCGACAAGACTGTAAATGTAAGATTTCAAGGGGATAGTAAAAAAATAATACAAATGAATCTTTTTTTTTTAAATAATATGATAAGAGTGAAAGACAATCCATAAAATGTAATTTGAGTACAGCACATTATGCTTTTGGAGGTCTCAGTGTGCCTTCTAGAGGCTAATCTTCCCAGGGCATTAGGAGTAATTAGAAAGTTTTTCTTGTTAATTAACCCTTTTTTGTAGTACTTTAGAACATTTTCTACTGTAGTAAAAATTTATTGCATTTCACTCTGTTATGAAGTACCCCTGAACAATATTAATCATAAACACATTAAATGCATACATATTTCTATTTTTCCTGAAAAAGCATCAAAGATGTTTAATGTTAAGCTCTGTTTTACTTAACAGATTTATCTCTGTTTTTATTCAGGGAATCACAAAGTACAACGCTGGGATTTACATATGCGTGACTTTCTTGATTCTGCTCCTGGTTTGGGAATGTTTGTGACTGTCACAAGCCCTACTAGTGAGGTAAAAATGCTTTATGAAAATTTCTCTACAATTTATGACTTGACTTCTGGCACTGGCAGGCAGCACTATCTAAAAATAAAAGACACTTCTGAGGAAGAAGTAAATCTACAATCTACCAGCTAGTTCAGCATTCAGCTGAAAGATAAAAGTAAAAATAATTACAATAGTTGATAAATATGTGTAAGGACAATTTTTGAATTACTACCAGATCTGGGAAACAGTGTCAATAAGAAGAATTAGTGACAACTGAGAAAACAAGTTAAATGAAAAATAAAACCCCAAAATTGTTTAATGAAGTAAGCTGGTACAGAATCCACTTGAGCAGCAGGAAGGTGTGCTGATGACAAACAAAACCCAAAGTCAAGGTCACCAAGGCTGCTCTAGCCCTCATGCAGAGCAGCTGCCTGAAGTGTGAGCTTTTTCAGCAGTGGACAACTTATTTCCCTGCCTAGGCAAGGTGTCAGTTTTCAGACTTTGAATGCTTTAGAGAGTATTGGCTTTTGTACATTGCAAAATTCTGTATTATTTTCATGTTCACTCTGAGGTAAAATTGTTTCGTTTTCTTTAAATGAGTTCTGAAATTTGGATGAATTTAATGATGTCAGCAGCTTAACTGATTCCTTTTTGCATTCAATTCACAGTACTTTTTTTTGATTTATTTATTGGTAGTTATAAGTTACAAACCCAATGCATATATCTAAATTGCAGGTACTGTTGTCAAAACTGTATGGGCCACAAGGGACCTTTACATTTACATCCTTCATCTCTGGGGAGCATATCATCTGTTTCCAGTCTAACTCCACAAGATTTGCAGTGATTGCAGGAAGTAAACTGGTAGGTTTATTTCCTAAACAGTCTTTGTTGTAACAGTATAAATCATTACCAATAGCTGGATTAGAAGTTGGTCTAACTTCTACCAGATAATTCAACGTTTTTTAGAGATTAAGGAAAGCAAACATAGAATTATGCAGATAAAAAGACAAAAAGACTCTTCTCATATTTAAAAAGTCAGCATTCAAGAGGCAGGACTAAGGATAGAGAGATTTAATGTTTGTAATGTGCTTTGAATGTGAAAGATTCTGATCATTAAGAACAACTAATTTGGATCAAAAAGACAAATATGTAAGATTGACTAACACAATCATTTGACATAAAGATATTTCATGTATTCACTAACTTAGATTGGATGGCCAACGAAAATGTGACATTTTAGTTTTTGAAAGATATTCAAATGAAGAATATGTCAGCATATTTGTTAATGTCTACTCCCAGCAAAGTTGGTTTTAATGCAGATTTGTGGGGGAAAAAAAGCCATCAGAGGTGATAGCAAGGCTCTAAATTTTTTTTTCTTGCAGCAAAATAAAATTTATAAATACTGTTTTGAAATTTTATCGATTTGCTGCTTCCCAAAACCAGGGGAGAATTACTCTCTAGAACAGTTTGGGGCTTTTTCTCTTCAGCTGACAGCAAAAGTGTTAAATAACCAGTTAAATAACCAAATATCATCTTCTAAATGAGTTAAGGTAAGCTAAATCTCATCCTAGCTGTGCACTTCAGAAACATGTAGATAACACAGAAATAACAATACTGGAGTAGGATTATTACACTGGAATAACAAGATGTTCTTACAGACCGATTTATAGAAATTAATGGAAATTTAATCATATACATTGCAAAAGCAATTAGCTCTAATCATCAAAAAAATTGTGGAGCTTATCAACTAGAGAGAGGGGGATAAAGCTTTGGTTGGTCACAGTTAACTATGCACCATGAATGTGATTCTGAGGATGTGCAGGTATTTTATCTGGAGTAAATGGGGGTGTATTAGCATTATTTTACATGATACATGCACCATGTAGAGTTCTGACCATCCTATATAAAAGATGCCAAGAGATGCAGGGAAGGAGAACATTAATATCACAATTATTAAATAATGTTTGTTTGAGAACACAGAGATAAAAAAGGAACATACTGTCCTTTTTAATTATATCTGGAGGAAAAAAGGTCACAAAAGGAAAAACATTCTTTAGTGAAGATAAATCTTTAACTGTTCTTTGTAAGAATCATATGGTTATCCGAACTCTTTCAAACAAAAATAAAGAAATTAATGGACCACAAGGTTGTGAGATGGATTTCTACCTTCTTTCAAGACAACTGAAAGAAAATACACTCTTCATTTATGGCTGATCTCTGAGCAGACCTAACTTCTATTATGGTAATATCAGTTTCTAGGGTTTTGAAGATTATTTGTTTGGCTAAAACCTTTTTATTTTCTCTTAGGCATTAACTGGCTTCTAGGAGAAGTTTCCCCCACTAGTTTTAGTAGAATTTTTCATGCATGCCAAAATAAGTTGCATAACATTGCAAATTCCATTCTTCTCTCTTCTTTCCATGGTACTATTGCTTGGCTGGCTTGAGGCATTTTTACTATACATCATACAACAGCCTGAAGGATATTAGGAGACATTCCAACTTGGATAAATAATGTGAAGAAAACAGTTATGTGAGGGAACCTAGAACTGTATTTGTAAAAAGACTCCAACAGTACTATTAAAAATAGTAATTTCTGCAATATCAGGATGAACAGGATGAAATGTGAAATATAATGAGCAGTCTTTTTTTTTTTAAACTACTTTGGACAAAGGCAACATTTAATGGTGGTTGAATCAAAACTAGCATAAAATAGTGCCCGAAAATTAGTAAAGATTGTAAATTTGTATAACTAATTTAAAAATAAAATTAAGAAACACTTCAAATTTTCCACCTGACTCCAAATTTAGGAGGAATTCTAATTTTTATAAGCAATTAAAACTATTTTCCTGCAATGATCTTAAGGGGAAATTTTCCATTGTTTAATTTTTATTCTAAGGAACTTTGAAAAAACAGAAGATACATTAATGAAAACATTTTTTTATTTTTGCAGCGCATCCATTTGGACATCAGAGTTGGAGAACATTTTTTGGATGAATCTGGTATTCAAGCCAAAGACAAAGTGAATGAAGTTAATATCAGACTAGAGAATCTAATTGAGCAAATTCATCATGTAACCAGAGAACAAGAGTATGAAAGAGTATGTATGTCCCCTAATGTAAATGTTAAAAAATATTGTACATTGGCTTATTGATTTATGAAGTATTATGAGGTTTATTATCCAATTGTAGGGCTGTTTTTAACTAACTCATAAAAATCTATAGATATTTAACCAAAATAGTCTCCATTACCTTGCAAAATATTTTTAAGTGGTTACATAAGACTATTAATCACTGTGGGCTCATGCTTGCAGCAGCAGGTGTTATTTTCTAGCAGCAGGTGTTATTTTAAAGCAGGATTTTCCAAGCAGAGTTTTCTTGGTCAGACTCAGCCACAGCAGCCGAGCTTTTGGTAGGTACCATTGTGGGTGATGCTGTTATTTCCACACTGCCCTGGGCACACAAACTCCATTGAGTGGGAAGGAAATGACTGAGTGTGTATTTATATATCCCCATGAAGTGTACATTTATGTATCCCTTCTTCAAAAAAGTGTACACCCAGTCACTTTTCTATATGCACACAGATAGACTGAGAAATGTATCAACTCGTTACCCAGTTTGAAATGGATCAACTTGTCACCCAAAACCAGAAATTTGGCTGCAAAAGGGCTCTTGACAGCAAATTATATAAACCTAAACAGGTTAAAATCTGTACTGATGGAACATGTTTAGCACAATGCATCTTCTGTGAACAGGGGAAGCTCTGTTTACCTTCCTGCTTCAGGATGCAGTGTGCCTGCTTCTCAGTTTTGATTTGTGCAATATCCACCATACAGATAAGTACAAACCTTCATTTTTATCCACATGGAAAAATGTTTTTGTTCACCACTATGCAGAAGAGGGATGCCTTTCTGGTTACCATGAAACACAGATGGCAAAAGGTAATAATTATGCTTTTCCTTTATTCTCTAGGAGCGTGAAGAAAAATTTCGGAAAACAAGTGAAGAAACCAACAGCAATATTTTGTGGTGGGCTATAGTACAAACACTAATCCTCATCTCTGTTGGAATCTGGCAAATCAAATCTCTCAGAGATTTCTTCATATCTAAGAAGCTTGTTTAAGTTCTATAAAGTCAATGCACAGATTCAAAAATTGTGCACCATGTTAACACTGAACATCCAAAGAAAAAGAAATCCTGCATCTATGAGAAAATTGCTTGTATAGAACTCTCAACCTTCTTTCATCTTCTGCTCTAACTCTGGTTTCTCCAGCAAGGTCACAACCTCTGGCATCCCCTCACGTTTTGCTCCTTGAATCCCATCTTTTGTCATTTTCTTTCCCCATCTATGGATGTAAAGCTAAATATAGAAGAGTCAGTGACTAAGGCAGAATTTAAGTTCAGTATTTAATGAAGGATATTTAATTTAGGTTAAATCTAAAAGAAAGTTTCCTAAGATTTTAAATTACTCTGCTTGCTGAGTAATCTTATTTGGCACTACCATGAACAGTTCAGCACTTCAGACTGACTAGGATTCAGATAGTAAACAGAGAAATAATTACATCCCTGTGGTGCTTAATTGGGTGAGAGTGTCTTGAACTCAATCTATGTGTGTGTAACACCTAAATATAATTGTGAATGCTTTCTCATAAAATATTCAGAGTTTGAACCGATCAGTGGTGGCAGCAATTATCATAGGAGAGACCCAGACAAGCAATTTGGAATTATACTTACTTTTTCTTCCAGAAAAGCCCTTAACATTAGGTTATGGAATTGATGATGATCAGATGCCTCCACAGTTGTTTACATAAATTACAGTCTTTATGAAATATGCCAAAGAAACCCAAATTATTGGGTTTCTTGGTAAACAATGCCAATTTTATTTTAATTCATGCCTGCACTAAATGTTTCTGTGAATTTTTATAATTTTAATTATTTAGCAACTTTATTATGACTGCCTACAGAAATTACCATTTCTTGACTTAATTTTCCATTACTTATTGCAGCTTGGTTGCATATACCTTTATGCCCTAATTTAGCGAGTTTATGTACAAATAGCAGTGTAACTACAGTATCATACAATGACAAGTCAAAGGCTGTGGTTAAAATTCCAGATAATTAGTTTGACAAAGCAGCAGTAGTAGAAGGAGTTGGAGGTGATTACATACAAAGGCATGGAAGTTTCTAGAGCACTGTGATAGCAGAATATTGTGGTTTGTTTTCCTACCCATCTTTTCAGACCCTTTGCTGGTTTAAAAGGTAGTGAAAGGTGAAATATCTGTAGACCAGTCACTGTTCTAAAGGCACGGCTTTCTTTCTTTTTTCTATCTTCCCACCTGTTGTTTTCTTTAGCAAGGAAATAACATTTTCCTTTAAGTCTACTTATATTTCCAGCATGGGAGTTAAAAGACAGCTGGTAGTATGTGAAAATCAATAAAATTGATATAAAGTAGAGACAAAAAGCAATGTTCCAGGGACCAAATCAATCCAAATAAAATCTCATAAAACTACTCACTGCATTGTGCCCTATATTTAAAAATTTGGATACTTCAGAGGTGCCACTTGGAATGACCAGTAAGTAAGTGTTATTAAATTAACTTCTCTAGAGCACTCACTCACAACATGTCTTGTAATAACATCTCTGGTGGTGGGTAAGAAGGAAATATGTGTTAAAACCATATGGTATATGAAATCCAAGAAGAAAGTAATAAAGTGTTGTGACAAGGTTGTGGTTCAGACTTTAGCTGATATTTAGTGTAAGGCTCCTAACCACATCCCAGTGACAAACATAACTCATTTCACTTACAATACACTCCAGCTGGTAATCCAGGACAAGCAACATTTCAGAATTCATAAAAGAGCTGATCATGTTTCATCATATTAATTAGGTCTATACTAAAAGAGTATAGACTTGGGAGTCTTGAATATAACTTGTGACTGCTTAGTTCTTTACTACTACTATTGGTACTATTATTAAAAATAATAATCATCATCATCATATTATCATCATCATCTTTGCTTTTAGGAAATGTTTTCAGTCTTCTTCAAGATTTTTAATTAACTTCATAATGCACGAGCTGACTCACAGCTCTTTTGGGAAGCACTTTGGGGGCAGAAGCCTTTGTGACATTAAAAGCTCCCTCTGCAGTTTGTGGCTCTGTCATACCCAGAGCTATAGCCTGCACTGCAACTAAGTTAGTAGGGAACTTCCTGCCCAAAATTTTCATCACTGGACACTAGCAATCCATGGGGTCATTTTTGTCTAAGAAATGAACATTAAATCTCCTCCCTTGCTCTTATTCCACAACAGAAGATGCCACGGCAAACCTGTGACAGCGAATTAACAAACTTCTTGGATTCTTGCATTTAAAAGAGTGAAATCCACAATTAATTTCTCTGCTTTTCTTTTTTTCCCCTCCATTCGCTGGCCCGGGAGGAGCGAGCAGGGCGGGGCTCCTGCTGAAGGTCCTGCCCGGAGCTCTGTGGGTGCAGCTCTGTTTCCCACGTCTGGGGACGGGAGGGCGAATCTCTCAGAGCGCCGTCTCTGTCGGCACCGCTCCACTTTGATAGTGAGAGGCCAGAAAAAACAAATTTTATTGGAGTGCGCGTGAGGACCAAGCTCTGCCGCCCCGAGGCCCCGCGGCGGGAAGGGCGCGGGCCGCGCTGCCCTCAGGGCCGCCTCAGCGGGCGGGACATGGTGGGGACGCCCCCGGGGGTCGGCCTGAGGACGAGCGGCGGTGCCGCAGCCCCGGGCCGCCGGCCCGTCCCGCCCCGCTGCGCCATGGCCGTGCGCATCTTCTGCAACTCCTGCCTGTGCGAGCCCCGCAGCCCCACGCCGCGGTTCTGCCTCACCAACTGCGGCCACGTTTTCTGTGAGGTTTGCCTGCAGAAAGGTAATAATGGCTGCTGGGGCGCGCCCGGCGGGGCGGGCTGTGCTGCCTGTACACATCCACTCAAACATTACTATTTCTCACCCGCCGTGGAAAAAAAACCCAGACCCTGAGCACTTCTTCGAATGTTACTGATAAGCCTTTCCAGTCCTTGCTGTTGATTCGCTTTGAACAGTAATACTGTGTCCACCTCCAGGTGGATGTGGCTTTGAGAGCGAGCCTTGGGCACACGACAGCGATGGAGGCTCTAATAACACTGGATTCTGGATGCTTATGATCCATAATTTTGTAAAAAAAACCCCCCACAAATAGATGGCCTTCTGTTCTGACTCATTTGGGAAAAATAGTGGTTTTTCCTTAATGAAAGAGCAATTGAAAAAACGTAGGATTTGTTTAGGGTAGGTTTTGGAAGTAGTTTTAATGAGTTTTGAGGATCAGTATTGTTCCTGAAGACGTTCAGCAGCATGAGGGAAGATTGGAGATGATGTTTTGAAGCTCTTGTGTTATGTACAATTCCAGAGTTCTATTCTGAACTCGTGTGAAGCTTGGTTTTTGTAAGGGCACATGGAAGAAATGATCAATCTGTATTCCATAACTAAAAGCTTTTGACTAAATGTTTTCACAGTGTTGCTACTAAGGATAGAGGATCATAAAATGCAGCCTTTGCAGCTTGCAGGCCCCTAGAACATGAACAACATTTTTCCTCTCTGCTCTTAATATTGTTTGGCAGAAAAATATATGAGGGATTATGTATCTTTTTGCTGTGAATTCAGTAGTAAGGAGGTTTAAAATGTACTTAAAGATGTTTACAAACACTGATCCGTAGAATCTTCAGAAAGGTAGTAGCTAGTAGAATTATAAATTATAAATATTGAAATAATGTGCATTTGCTATAGATATTTTCTAATATGTTTGCAGATAAAGAGTCTAGAAGTCATAAAGTTTTTTAAAGTGATTTTATTGTTTTCTCACTGGAGGAATTCAAAAGGCAAAATTACTAATTTCTTGACATTTGGGTTTCATATATTTTGTTGGGACAACCCAACTGTGCCCCAGTCTAAAAAGCCATATATCAGATTGACTGTAAGTCATTAGTGCACTTAAGCATACATTTAATTAAACCGAGCAAGTAGTCCTATTTAAATCAAGGGAACTAAAAGTCACCTGCATTCTGTGACACTAATGATATTCATCAAATCATTTACATGAATGCTTATTTAGAGGAGTAAGACCTGATGACATTCACATATATTTTTCCTGCACAACTCAGTGTAATGGTTATAGAATCAAATTCTTTATTCATGTTTATTCATATTTCTTGTGTAACCTGCAGATTTCTTCCACAAGCTCAAGAGGTTTAGGCATCACATTATATTTACAATGTATTCAATATATTTTCAGTTTGATCTATATTTTAAATGTGTCTTTACCTTACAGGCAAAAAAGATGAATGTCTGGTCTGTAGGAGGGCTTGTCGTACCTTAGTCCTTTCAAAAGAGGTAAATCAAGGTTTACTTTTGTTGCATTACATTAATCTGTGTTTTCCTTAACAGCTAAACTATTTGCATTAAAAAGTGCTTCCTTTTTTGATTTTGCCAATTGTGACATGAATATTTACTGATAATAGGTTGCTAAACTAAGATACTTAGGCACTAGACAGCTCTATTTTTTGTTGTAAATATTCCTGTAAATTAAAGCCTATGGAAACTTTGGTTTTCAGGTACTGCTAGACTGTAAACCATTCTAAACTTCTCAAGAAATATGGCTGGTTACTGTGTAGCATCAGTGACTACTTTCAAAATGGGGAAAAATTGTTATTGATTTTGGCATTCGTACATCACAGAAAATGAACTGTAATGAATTATTTCATGCAATGGACTGAAAGCCTGCCTGATGGCTCAGCTGTGTTTTCAAGTGGATTAGGTTTTTTCCCCATTTTCTCTTAACTATTTTCCTTGTGGCTGTGTGATTAAGAAATCTTGTTGGGAATTTTGTTATTCACTGGAGAATTAAGAGCTTTTAATTCCCTTTCTTGATTAATCATTAGGAATCTTTAATTTTGCATTTCTCCCAGGAGCAATCTTCTCTTTAGCTGATTTCATAAATAGGTTGTGAAAACATTCATATTTTTGTAGACTGATGCCTACCTAAGAGCCAATGCCTTATAAGGATAAAAGAGAAAGAGTAAAAATATTTAATAAAATTCAGTACAGCTAAACATGAAGGCCTCCTAGGAATCTTGCACATTGAAGAAGACAATGTTGCTAAAAAAAATTGTAACAAAACAACAAAATGCAATTATAATACAAAGGAACAATGCACACAGTAAACAAATATGAAAAAAAAAGACCAGAAAGCCCTTCATAAAAATTCTAAAGGGCATATTTTAATATGCTTTCAATATCAACATATTCATGCTGCAAACACTGTTATTAATTTCAGTCAAAGAATAATTTAAGTTGTTGAGGACCTCTGAAGGTCATCTTGTTCAACACCTTGCTCCAAACAATGTTGATTTTTAAGTTACATCTGTCTTAAATTGCACCATTTCAGCAGAACTTGATAATTTACTTCAAAAGCACAGAAGGAATATAAAAATGCAATGATTGGGATACTAACAAAAATATTAGATGTTTCATTAGAACCTGCCACTGCTCTGGAGGGCTTGAGGGAAGCAAATTACCATATTCTTTAAAAAAGACATTAATGATGATTGCTTATCCTTGATTAAGAAAAGATAAAATGATTGGAATGATAATTAAAGATGCATATAAAAAAGTCATGGCTCTATAATTCAGGAACCTGAGTGGAAATATACCTGGTAAGCTTTATGAGCTTGATGCTATGGAAGAATTCCCAATGAGAGGAGGTCCTATAAATGTGTTAGAAGTCCTAATTAAATTGTATGTTGGGGTAATCAACATGTACACATTAAATATTCTCATCTTTACAGTAATGCATTCTTGTCACCTTTATGTCTTCCTTCTGTGTCTCATGATCCCCACTTGCTCTTCCCCAGAGGATGGTTAAGTGTTACAATAAATCAGGTTCTGGCTGTTCAGTATTTCAGAATATCAAAGGAACATCTGCTACTCCTCCATGCAGCAGATAAAATATAAACAGAGTTACACAAATCTTTATTTGAAAGAGTTTTTATATCAACATGAAGCTGGTTGGGTTTTATTTTTTTCAAATCTGATAAGTACTTAACCCAAGATCATTGCTTTGATAGAACCCTAAATGGATTGCAAGAGCTTGGTTCCTTTGAATGCATTTCATTTAAAGAAGCTGAATATATTTTTATTAATATCTTAAGTTTTCAAGATGGAATATTATTGTATTGCTTTTATTTTCTTTACTGAAATACAATAGGTAGATTAACTGTGCTGTCTGCATTTCTCCGTCTGTCAGCTGGAAATTTTTGAATCTTTAGCTGATGTCAACCAAATTCAAAATTGCAGAGGAAGTCCCAAATACAATTACTTACCTTCTGTGAGTTCTGTAAGAGTTAGTAGCTGGGGAAAGCAAGAAAAAGCAGTTTTCCTAAAGCATGCACAGCTCTGATTAAAAGACACAAGTCATAAAATATTTTAAAAATTCAACAATTAGGTAAAGGCTCTTTCCTTATTCTGGGATAATATTCTGCTGCCCAGTGGGCAGGGAGAGACAAAGGGATCCCAGTCAGCATTGGAACTCTTCTGAAAAAAGGACTTTGAAACAAAACTGATTGTGGGGTGCATCCCAGGTGGCTGGGAATGGTGAGAGCAAAAAAGCCTGGAAAGGGGCTGCCAGAAACGTGGCTGTTGGTGTGAATGCCATGCCTGTTGCAAGGGCCACACATCCTCCTTGAATGTCCTCTGGACACTGGTACTATCTTAATCACTATAAGTATATATGTGGGTAATGTATTTAAACAAAATCCCAATGCTTTCCAGATGGTTGATAAGGCCATTAAAGAAAACTAGGCTTATTTTCAATTTCTGCATTATCCTTCTCTAATCTGTCAATTTTTTAATTTATATTCATCAGTCAATTTAAGAAACACTTTACAAAAGACTTTAATATGACTTGCTAATAAAAATGCTAACCTTGGTATATTTTCATTTCTTCATAGACAAGTGCTGATATTCAATCACTGTTCATGCCAGTAGACGTGTTAAGCAAGAAATATTCAAAAGAAATATCACAGGTGAATCTGCCTTTAAACTTTTTAACTCTATAAAATAATCAGCAGCTCCTACTGATTTTTATGTGAATGGGAAAAGTGAATGAGTGAATGCTTGAAAAATTAATGTATGCCCATTACCATCTTTACTTCCTTAATTCCACAGTTTCTGAGTTCTTAAGGAGACATAAATTATTCATTATGGTCACTGCTTATGTTTTCAAACTCTCTCTAAGGACCACTAGTCTGGTTATTTTAATGGTGTAAAATCACTTTCAATGCCATGCAGTGAAAAATTAGATCTTCCAGAAGCTCAAACGTGCCCAGATAGTGTGCCTTAATTATAGCAATAAAAAGTTACACAGTGAAAACCTGAGCTGGACACAGTCCTGAGCTGACTGTGCTCTCTCTCCCTTCTAATTTTTTTTTTTTTTTTGACAAAACACACCTCTTTTTTTTCCTTCCCCAGATAGATGCAGTAAATGATTCCAAGGTCATTTTCATTCCTGCTTTTTGGGAATTCCAGATAGGATTACTTTTGTCAGGCTTAGTTTCAAGTCAAGAACTTCAGTAGCTGTCTGGGTTAAATGAATGCATAAAAATTCCCTTTTTGCCTTAATTTTCTGCATCTCTTCAGCTTGGCTTTGGGACTCTGTGTCCTTGTCCCTCTCCCTGTGCATTTCAGTGGCAGTTTCAGCCTCTCCAGAAGTACATTTGTCCCTGGGCCCAGCCACAACCCTCGTTGGCTGTTCTCATCTCCTTGGGCTGGGACTTGCTGACCTTTGGGTGATCTTCCTGATCCAGCAGAACAATAACCCAGGGGTTAAACACTAAACAATACAACAATAACCTGTTTTCTTCAGCAATGGTCATGGATTCACATTTGTGCTACCCCAGGCTTCACAGACTTTTCCAAAGCTGAGCTTGGCCATTTCCTGAGCAGTGTTACTCCTCAGATGTAGAAGGTACACAAGGTAAAGATGAGCCCTTCCTCTGTCCTTCCATACCCACTTTTTAACAGCAGGATCAGCAGTTACTCCATAAACTGAACAAATGCAGGGAACCTGCACACCTCCAATCACATGGGAATGCAAACTTCCATAATGTGCCAAAGGAAGGAAAAAAGAGGGCTCAATCTTTGCAGGCTGAGGTAGGTTTTCTGTAGCCTGAGATAACCTGTTGGGAACATATTGAAGTGTAGTGAAGGCATTGGGGTATGTTCAGAACTTGTCCCAGTATCAAAAGATGTAAGAGCAATTTATCTAATCTCTTATCTAATCTAATATCTTGTCACTTTGGTGGGTGCTAGGAAAGCATGAGAGCAAAGCTGGATGTAGTGATACATCCTCAGAGGAGCCTCCCAGCTTTCCACAAGTCGTGGCACAGGGATTTCTCAAAGTGGGATTGGTCTTCTGCGTTCAGAAGCTTTGGTGGATATTTTTCCCCACATAATTGCAAGGTTGTTTCCTGAATTTTAGCATCTACCTCATATTATGGAAGGGTGATTCACAGGTTTTTCACTGGATGATGATTATTTCATTTTTCAGGTTTTAACCTGTTAGTTTCATTTCTTACTCTTGAATTTGATTCTTGAGGAAAAAGTATCCATTCTCATGCACTATGTCTGTGCTAATCAGTAGTTTTAGACTGCTGATGCATCCCTTTTTCAACTGTTTTTCAGCCATGAAGATTCATATTCTATGTGGTCATTCTTTTACTGAAGTTCTTGCATACCTCTCATTAATCTGAACTGTTTTCAGACCTACTCTGTCCTTTCTGAGATGTTTAGCAGACTCAGGATATAGGAACATGCATTTTTTAAAGGAGAATGATGATGTCCCCTATTCCATTTTAAACTACTGGTAAGGTCTGATTTACTTTTTGACTGGTACTGAGCACTAAACTGACAAATTCAGGTTTCTCCTAGACCCAAGAACTCATTTCTGCATGAGTGGAGACAGCTCAGAGCCATCATTTTCTAAGTGAACATTTCTTCCATCAGTTCTTCCAAAGACACGCTGATCCTTTGATGAGTGTTCATGGGAATCTCCCAGGTCCTTCCACAGGGAATAAAATAACCATTTAACTTGGATACTCCTCTATGGGTTTATATTCTCAGAGTGTTTCTTCTTGGTTGTCTGAATTCCTACAGATTTTCTGGCAGTTTTCTTACATGTGGGAAGAAAGATTTATTAGAAGTTACTGCCTATGTTAATTTGTTCCTCAAGCTCTTGTCTTGCCTACCTTGTCATTTTTACTTTTAACTTGTCATGGTTTATGATCCTCATGTGGACACAAGAAGTGCTTACACATCACCAGACAGTGTGTCTAACAATTATTTTTTAATTAACAGGGTATTTTTACAAGGCATATTATAATTGCCAGTAAGACAGATTACTTTTTATGTTGCCATTAATTTTATGTGTTTGCTTAGCACTGATGAATAAGAAACACTGCAGCTAAACTGGCTTTCTAATGTCTTTACCTTTTTATTGAACATAGTGTTACTTAAGTGAAATAAATCTACCAGCTCTTCTGTAGGTCATATTGGATTAAATTAACTTTATAAGATTTTGTCTATCAGTGATAATAACTTACATTACTTCGGGATTTTTTTTAAAGAGGATTAAAAAAAAAGATATGTTAACTGCCTGTAAAAGACAGAAAACTTTGAATACTGTGAAGTAGTTATTTTCCATCACTTCTTTGCTGAGGTGCATAAATGGATTATGTGCAGCTTGATATAACTATATTTATTTTTAGGTATCAGAATTTCAAGAAAAATATCGTAAGCGTTTATTAAAACACCAGAAACAAAAGGTAACCCTAATTGTGATTTTCTAGATTTTTGTTTATGTTTGCCTTGTTACTTTGGTTTATTTTTAGAAACAATAGTAATCTATTATGGGAATACTTAGAATAATTTATCAGGATTGACTCATTACTATCATTATAAATGATAGTATATACCAGTTCTTAATTGTTTAAAGTCTGTGAGGACTCTATTAATTCTGCTTACTGTTTCTAATAAAATATTCTAGTTGTGAGGTGGTTAAGATTAAATGGAGAATCAAAGGACAGGTAGGGAGGAAACCAATTCACTGTCTGGAGGGGAAAGTGGAACAGGTGGGGAGAGAGAGGTGCTAGAAGATAAGCACAGAGGAAAAGAAGACTAGGGGTGACAAGATAAATGAGAAGCTTGAGCAATGGGGAACAAGACTAAGGGCTAATACCCTGAATTTGGGATAGCTCAGTGTGAAGGACAGGATTAATTATTCTGTGGAGAGCAGGTACTGCATTTGTGGCTGTGCTTCTTCCTTTGTAGGTTGGAAAGCAGATTCTTTTTCATTTTTCAGCTACTTCTAAATATTTTATTAAATAGTTGGATATTTCTTTTATTTCTAAGGACATGGGATGTTGCTTAAAGCTACTTGGCAGTATTGGTGACTTGACCTGTTAGTGGGTGCCCCATGTATGAAGTGACAGAGAAAAAGCTGATGTAGATGCCCAGCTGGCATTTCATGTGTGAGGAGAGTTTCTGGTATGATTGCCATGGATGGAAAGCTTGGAAATTAGGTGTTCTGTGGCCCATTCTTTCTTCTTCTCCATGAATGCATTTTGGGATCACTCACAGTGTGCTGTGTTTTGTGTAGGTCTTTTAGGGTCCTGTCCTTCTGCTTTCAAAGCCAGACCAGGGAGGAATCCTGATTTCATCCCCCTTCTAATCTATTGTACCAACTTCAGATGGTAAAACGGAAACCTGTAGACAAAGTAAAGCAAATATCTTAATAGAATTCAGCATAAATTGAGATGTTATCTCCAAAGAAGCTGTGGAGAGTTTTGATACTTTGTGATGGTAATTTTTTAAGTTTACTGCTGAGACATTCACTCAGCAGTGTTTGTGAAGTATTCAGGGATGGTGCTTGACCTAAGGAAGGTGTCCAGGTGACAGTTCCAAAACAGTTGAAAACACAGTTGGTTGCTGCTTCAATGGCACACTGTTTTGGGTGGGTTTGTTGTTGTTTTGCCCATTCTGTGGATCGTTAGTATGTTAAAACTGCTTGCATTGGATCAGGGTCAGGAGAGGCTGGTTGTATTGAACACCATTCCAGTTTCTCATGCTTGGCTGTCTTGTTGCAGGTCCCTTTCCTTATTTCTAGTTTGTCATCTTTGTCACTGTCAACCAACAAGGTCTCATGGTCTTCATTAATCTGCTTGGCTGTTTCTGTGAGTTGTGCAAGGTATTAGGGTGCAGGTGGTGGTGGCCACTTGCTGTCCATGTTCCTGGCAGGTCTAGATGTCCTGTTATGCTAGGATCCCAAAATACTGAAAATCAAATAGTTGCTCATGTTCTTTAAGGTACTTTGGTCTTAAAATTACCCAGTCCTACAGAACAACAGAGTAAAGTACATTCTTCCTGACTGGTTCCTTTCTTAATCAAACCTAGCTCTCATTAGGAAGGAAAAAAAAACCAGAATACCAAAAACCAGATCTTACATAAATTACATTTTTTGTCTAATCTGTTTTGCAGAGTTTTTCATCTGCAAAAAGAGCATAATATCTCCCACAAACAGTATGATTTTATAAATCAGGTAATTTTATTAAAGGATTCAAATAATAGTTTGAGAAGCATGAAAAATTAACAAGCAAATTCATAATTTGCCTTCAAATCAAAATATGAACAGTGTGAAGGATTAAGGTCACATAATGGAAATTAGGGATAAAACATAGATGCAGTATTGAGGCTATTGAGTAAATTTTTACATCCTTCATAAAATATAATATATGTTCACATAATGAAAGACTGTAAAAAATACACCTAGTAGGGAGCTGCCCTAGTCTTCTTGACCTTAATATTCTTCCATCTTTCCAGCTCATAACATTTTTAATGGAGATATTTCTGGTTGTGTCTCTTAACAGAGTAGAAAAAACTTTTCACTTAGGCTTACTACAAATAGATACTGAAGTGAGCTGAATACATTTTGAATCTGGAATGAGAAATATGAGAACAATGTATTTTGTACATTTATTGGTAGCTTTTTTAGATAAATCTATATTAATCATAACAAAGCTTTTATATCAGATATGAAAAGTAGGAAGCAAAAGAAAACTGTTTTTAAGCACTTTTCCTAGTATTCATTTATCCAGTATTACCAGCATACTTAAGAAAAGGTAATCAAACAAAGTCTTTAACTGCCAAAAAAGCAGATCTCTTCCAGACTGACTGTTTAATGGGTCCATAACACAGCCATAACAGCTCCAATAAATCTGAAATTGCAGTGATGTCTTAAGATTAAAACCAATAGAAAGCAGCCTTTCAACACTTTAGAATGCTAGCTGGATGAAAATGAAGCTGTATATCACACAAACAGACTTTGTTTAAATCTCTGATTATCTCACAGATAGCAAAGCTGGAAGAGTCTCTCAAGAAAGTAACACAACAAATTCAACAGTTACAATGGTAAGAGGTTTAATGCAGAAAAAGTAAATGTAATCAGACAACAGTAATTTTAATTTATAAAGGAATAAAAATTCATGTTTTGTTTGCCTTCCTCGTGTTTTTACAGAAATAAATGTATAGTGATTTCTGACATCAGATCCATTTTATTCACAGTAATCAATCCTGTCAGGAAGAAATCCTTTTATTTTACAACACAATTCCATAGTTAACTCTAAAAATGAACTTTTAATAAAGTCTGTCATATAGATATTCAGTTTTAATTTTTTATTTGCAGTTACATAACCATGCTTGTGTATTTTGCAATGGACTTTATAGCATCAGCTTGGAAAATATTATGATGCCTTTCCTGGTATCTTAGCCCATTTATAAAGTTACCAGAGTTTTGTAACATGGTTCTCATTGTTTCTATTTCCAGTAAAAATTAAATTCTTATCTCATCTTGAATTACTCTCTTTTCTCAATGTTTCAAAGTGGTAGCCAAGAGGTCACTCATCCCTCTGCTAAATGACTGATATATCTTCATCTTTTCATCTTACTTACTTCCAACATAAAGCCAAAATTGTTATTTAAATATCCTTAATAAGCCAGTTCCTGAAACCAGCATTTTAGTTACACAGATTTGATCTTTAATTGATCTTTATTCCTTTTCTGTGTTTTTTAGTACAGACTTTTCCTTGACTCTTAAATGCACATAATACTGTATTTTGCTCTCCCAGGCTGCTTGGTGTAATGTAACAAAAAGAAAAAACCAGCATAAAGGAAACTCTGTATGTGGTGGATTATTGCAGTTTATATATTTTTATTGATTTTATGCCTCCATTTTCTTGTCTGCATCTCAAATGAATAGCATCTTGGTTATATCAATTACAAAGTTCTTACTGAATTTTAGATTTTTTTTTGAGTTCTACCTAGAGAGAAGTGTCCTAGGGCCTCTTTTTGCCTGCCTAGTAAACATATTCCTCCTATTTATGATTCTTGCCAAAGGTACCAGATTTGCAAAGTTATTGTTGAATAGCATGAAAATGCCAACATTTCATTTGATAACTAGATTTCTTAAAGTTTGGTAAATACATAATTTCATGAAATTAAATGAATTTTGTGCTTAGCTATAGTTAAGGCTTGTATTTTAACATCTGTTTTTCTCCAAAGTACTCTGCCATAATATTGTGCTAAATTTGATATTGTTGGGTATATAATGAGCACTGCAAATCTTATGATGTAAAGATCAAGTTCATAGATTTACCAAATAAATTCTTACTTTGCTTCATGGCAAATAGTGTCATGTTAAAACCTGCTCCTGATGGATAAATGCTTTGATTTTTTCCTTTATTGACCAGTTAGACATGTTAACTAATCAAACCAGCTTTCAGGTTATATCTGTTGTTTCTTCTTTCCCCTTTAGTATGAAACCTCCTGAAAACACCACAGCACTGCCATTTGCCAGTACGAGCAGAAATCCATCCAGTAAGAAGTGTTGGTTTAAAATGCTAACTATAGAATAGCTGTCACTGGACAGGTATAGCTGTGTTCTAATATTAAATTTCTTAATGACTTCAGTTCCTTCAAGAAAACAGAATGTTTATTCTTCATATTCTCTTCATTCGAGTCGTCCTTCCACTTCTGAAACGTGGGTACAAACTTGTTAATTTTCAATGAAAACCTTAACTAAAATTTATACAGAAAGTAAACTTTTTGTAGTGATTTTAAAATATTTTTTTGATTTTTTTGTGTGTTTTGTTTTTGCAAACTGTTGAAATATGAAAGAACTGAGGAAAGTCTTACATGTTCAAGTGTCCATTACAGTTGTATGGATGGTGGTTACTGGAAAGAAATCTAAGGCATGATGCACCTTATTCCAAAGAACTTTTGGATGCATAGCTACATAGATGAATGCACAAATAGACAGATTAGTGAGACACTCTCCATTTACCATAGAGAAAATCTAAATTTATTGTACAGACACCTATATGTACACTGTAGTGATCTCAGGATAGATGGGATGAGCCACTCCACTAAGGCTCATTTAATTTTAAGTAAAATGAATATACAGTTTGCTGAAGCTAAAATATTTCTCTGCCTTTGACTGTGACTTCCTTTTCTACAAAAAAAACCCAGAGATTCAGACTGCCCTTGTTGTGGATACAAATGAAAAATACATAAATATGCATATTTATTCAGACAAATAGAAGAATATCAATGCTAATCATAAAATAACTTACTCTGTAAATGTCTAAACCAAAGCTCAGAATCAGTGAATAGATTTTTCTTACTGCTAGTGAGTTCTGGAATAAGTCCTAAATACTTATGTGTCTTATGCATTATGTATTATGCTTTTCCATTACTGGTCAAATTTAACATTAGAATCTTAACATGATTTCAGTCTTTATAATGAAAATGTTATTTTTATTACAATGTCATACTTTGACCTTTCTTGCAAGGATGGAGGCAATGGAGATTGATCCTGTACCTTCACCAATGAGGAAAGTAAGTGGGTTTTTTTAAAAACTTGTTTATGTATAGTTACACACATATATCCTTTTGATTTCTCTTACTCTGTAAATGCTACAAAAAATAGGATTCATCCCCCATCCCATTCAAAACCATTCTGATGTGCATGATGATTTCAGATATGCTTGATGCAGGATAGAAATCAGATGCTCCCCAAAAGAAACCAAAAGCAAATAAATCACAACATTAATTTCTGGAATTATATTCTCCACTAAACTTGTGATGCCAAAGTAAATGGCAAATTCTTAAAATCCCAATATTACACAAATGTCAGTGGTCTGAAAGCACCATTCAGATACCTGAGTACTCTGATACCTGAGTAGGGAATTGCAGGTTTTGAGGATACTGCTAACATGAGAATGAAGGCAGGAGCTTTTCATGGTGTTGATATCCTGGTTAGGAGAGGTAACATCCAGGAGCATCTGCTAGCTTGCAAATGGAATGTCAGTACAGAAAACAGTGAGAGTGTCTGATAACACTTTTTATCTGAATGTGATAGGTTATATAATAAAGCTAAAATACAAATATTTCCCACCTGCCCATAGATCTTTAAAAATAGTAACTTAATTCTTAGGTTTTGCATTTTAGTGCTATGACCAAAACTGACAGCAGAGAGTTCTGAAATCTGCAGGCTCTGTAGACCTTAAAAATATCTTAAAATGTCTTAATAATTAATATGCTTATTACACTGTGGTTAATGACTTGCTGTTCATTTAGCTGGAGACACCAAATGGTCCAACAAGATTATCAGTAATAACTCCTCCACAGGGTGGACGGATGGGTGAGTAAAAGTAAACTTTGTAACTGAGTAACATTTCTGTTGTATTAGGAGGATGAATAAATTAAAATCCATACCTTAGCAATTTACTAAAAAAATTTGAATTGTGTTGAGGTGTGAGGAATTTACCTTCAATCCAGCAGCTGGGAAATGGTTAAAATGAAGTATGAAATGTTTTTCTAGTACCTACCTCTTCTGCTCAGTAAATAATTACTTGTAACCAAACCAATTTTTGCTGAAACAACAGTTTCAAAGAAAACACTATAACTATATGTGTGATTGAACAGAACAGAAATACTTGCAATATGCATTGTTGACCCTCTGTTAAGCTTCATAATTTTGTCTATTTGGGGTTAACAGAGAGTAACATTGTCCACAATGTCATATTAAATATTACATGAAGAAAAGGGGAGAAACTTAATAGAAGTTAAAAAAAAATATTTAATAACAGAAGTCAGGTAGTTGAGATCAAGAATTTCTTCAAAAAGGTGATAATTTTTTTCACCTTATCACTGTTACAGGGTATAAGACATTTTACCTGCCACTACTTTTTTCCATTCCTTCATACCCTGAGCTTGGGTAACACTCAGATGTAAATAAGACATGAGTAAAAGCCTACTGGAACTGGTGCAGCCTCTTGACAACTGTTTACTTGTGAGGACTTCCCCAGAATTCCTGATGCTTTGCAGGCCTACTGTCTGTGTGTCTCTCCCATTTTTGGTTTTACATTCAGCATGTTTCTGCAGCAGTCTGTGCTCAGGCAGGCTTTCACCTGGCTTCAGCAGTTCATAGACTCCATCTGCAGCCACATAAAGAACTTTTAGCACTCTTGTGTTTTTACATGCTGTAAGTGTCCCGAAACAAAGACAAATGCAATTGCAATGGAGGAGGAAAAATTGCTTTTTCTATGTTATGTCTGATTTATATGCTCAGATCCTTCCTAAATCCATGGTTGCCTATAAATTTAAGCATAACAAGATAAAGAGAGCTGAGGTTAACTGGTTTTTTTTATTGTGTCTAAATATAAATAGATATTTATTAGACAGTAAAATTTTATGTAGAACAGTTATGTGTTCAGCAGATTTTAGAACTTTCACATAAAGTTTTGCAGTGGACAAGGCTGAGGGAGTCAAAGTTTATGTGCAAAAGTAAGGGTAAGTGGAAACAATGATTGAATGGTGCACTAAGGAAAGTTTCCTTCTCAGAGGTGGAGGGGGCAAAAAAAGATCAGCTGAAGAACTGGGGCACTTCAGCACAGCTGTCTTGATAGTCTAATAATAGTCTAATAAATGAAAGAAGGTGAAAGAAACCACCATGTGTTTAACTGGAACAAGATTTGCAGGGATGGTGCAATATGATGTTTTTGTGACAGCTGAGCTCTCTCACTGACTATTGTAATTGTGCACCATTTTTAGTTCTTGAATGAATCAATCATGAATTTCTCCCAAATCATGCAATAAAAGTACTAATCTTTGTTTCCAAAGTTATCTCTTGTAAGTAAAATGTGTAATTCATGTTGGTCCTGTTTTCAAAAATCTGATTCCAACAGGGAGTGTATCCTACAGGACTTCTCAGATAGCTCTAATAAAGCCAAGGCAGAGTAGTGGAACAGGATCTACAAGGTAATTCAATACTTTTTGAAGAGGTTACCATCTCCTGCAAGAGAGTGAAATGTCCCCTCTGGCCTTTATTAATCTGTTTGTTCAGAGGTTATATTCTAGATCTGAAGGTGTTACTGTGCAGCCTGGCTATCATCTACATGAATGTTTGATTTTGGGGGAAAGTTTTATTTTGAAATCACATTTTTCAAAACTGTGCAGTTATAATCTGTGCTTCTGTAGCTATTGGCATCTGCAGTCATGGTATTCCTATAAAAAGGGGTAATTTTATAATGAAGAAGTTTAACAATGTCTCTGCTGTATCATTCTTATAAAAATCAGAGATGAAAGCACAATATCTGCACAAGGGCTGTTCTCTGAATAACCTGAACTTTTCATGCAGCCTGCAACAGGTGTTTCTGGTTTTTTATTTAAACATTGAAAATGTCTTAAACTGTGAGAATTACTAACATCAATAACTTTAAATTGTTCCAATAAATTAAACTCTTGTTCTTTATAATCATTAAGCCAAATATATCTTCCTAGCAGAAATTTAAATATGTGTAACAAAGCACTTCTTTTCCACCTCTGATTCTATAATTGTTTTGTCAGTCTGCTTTTTGAAATATGTAAAAATATTCAGTAAGTAAAAATACCTAGACAACAAATTGAAGTAATTTTGAAATCTTTTGTATTGTTACAGAAGTAGCCTCAAATCACATGCATGAATTAATTTCATTAACAGATCCACCCCTGTGGTGAGATTACCACATAGTTCTTGTCCATCATCATCTGGATCCCAAAGCAGTCAAAGGGGATCCTGGGCTAATTCTGATTTCAGAACCCCTCAGCTGTATCCATTTACATCACCTTCCCCACAGCTGCCTCTGTCCAGGCAGCCAATCACCATCTCTGGACTTCTGCAAAGACAACAAGGCAAGTATATTTATAAACTAGCATTTAATGCATCCTGAAAAAAAAATTTAACATAGCAGCTTAAGTAAATGAACCAAAATAAAAATGGTATTTCAGAATTGGAAGTAGGCTTTCAGCAAAATATGAAAGATGTTGGTGTTTATGATTGTATTTTGCCTTGGTTTTATGTGTGGGAGGGTATCTGCTGTGAAAATGTGTTCTTGCTTCCCTTCAGAATTAGATTTTAACAGAGATTTAAATCTGATAATGTCCAAGTTTTCTGTCTCAGCTGCACATTTCTTAAAGATCTGCCTATCAAGACATCCATGTAAATGTCCACAGATCACAGTAAAAAGGGAGATAGTCCAGGGTGTTATTGTTGAGTGCAACATAAAACTAGAAAAAGCAGCTGCATAAACATGAGCCCAAGGCGGGGTGGATCTGGGTAGGAGTTGCACTGGGGCAGATTAATTAATAAAATCACAGAATCAGAATCATGGAATCATAGAACAGCCCTGGTCAGAAGGCACCTTGAATGGTCCAGCCCCTTTTGGGGAAGAGAAACCAGATGAGATCAGGTAGCACCCTGACCAATCACATCTTGCAAACCTAATTCTCCCTATTGTTGAGTTTGCATCACCATTGAAGTATTTTTTTAACTTATATTAAAAAGATAATTCATCTCTAAAGCACCTTTAGTCCATACTAATAAATGTGACCTTCCTACATAAGTAGTTTTGAGTTCATGAAACCAAAATAAAAATATTTTAAGAAATGAAGGCTTATAGCTTGCAAAAGCTTACATCACAATTGTTTTAATTGTGAGATTTCTGGAGGGTAATACAGTATGTGAAATAATGCATGAACCTGATAGGATCTCTAGATAATCTAGGAGAAATTAATGTTATAAAAAAGTAGCTGTATTGAACATTAGTGATAGATGCCATTTGGCTATATGATTGCAATTAACTTCAGTTCATATACAGAATAATGCTTTGCAGATTCACTTGTGTAGCTAAAATTGGAATATGGCAAAAATGCTTTTATGGAAATCTGGAGGAGCACATTTACATTCATGAAAATGGCAATAGAATCGTTTTCATCAGTTGTGTAGGTTGTTTTTTTAATTTTTGATTTACTTTTCCTTATATAAATTCCCCAAATAATTTACAAGAATGAAGCTTTACTTTAGTTTTACCAGTTTTTTTTCATTTGTACCTGTATTTTTATTCTAGGATCAACTAATTTAGGAGGACGTTCAGCAGAGAGATGAGCAAATATCTGTGAATTGTTTTGGTTAAGAAGCATTTGGAGAGGCACTGCATAGTCTCTGGATATCAAAGTATTTGTAACTTCCATAATATGTCAAATTGGCATAAACCAGCAAATTGTTCAGCATGAATACTGTATTTAAAACATCAGTGATTTTTCTGATTAATATCTACTGAAATTTTAGATGGGAGTACAAAATTTTCTTTTTTTTGAAATTGTGACTTCAAATACATTGAATAAATGAAAGTCCTTCATTACCTAAGTGTTAAGACAAAATCTGATTATATGTTGAATGAGCATTTTTTGCTGTGAGTGCATTGAGCTGCAGGATAAATAATTGTGCCTGTACAGTATTATAGATAGACTTCAATCCTAAAAAAAATAAATTTCTTTATGGATTTTTGATTACAGAATTCCAAAGTTTGGTTCATACTCAATGCATCTCCTTTTGTTTGCACTCTTGAAAATGGGTGAGTTTTGAGGGATATAACATTTTAGCAGGCTCTGCTGAGCTCAGAACACAGTATCTGTTCCATGCTTGTGAACCTTACTTGATTTAGGTAGCAAGGATTTCTTCCCAAAATGGAATTAAGTGGGGGAACTGGAATGAAGAGACAAAACACAGTGAAGACTGCTTTTACTTTTACACAGGAATAGCAACTGGAGACTCTGAATGAAGGGTGCCAGAATTTTCTTTTCTGAGAATAACTCTGAAATTCATATGCCCTCCATATGTGGCGCAATTTTGGTTATGACTGAGTCATCAAATGCCTTTGTTTTGTTTTGACCCTAACTTTACCTGGACTATTTTAAGTATAATAAAACTAGAAGCTGGTGTGTTTTTTTTGAGATAAAGTTCCCTGAATATATGATAAATTTATTTTGAGTTGAAATGTTTTACTTTTCATATCACAAGTGGATGTGAGAGAGAAAACTTAATTAAATGTTCAGGAGTTGAGATGAGAACTGGAAGAGATCATTCACCAAATACCATCATGGGCAAACCACATTCAACTTGAGGATATTAATTGAATTTATTACTAAGAAAATCACAGCAGGATAGTGAGAAGTAAAATAAATCTTAAGAAAACCCTTCTCTCCTTCCTGAGAAGTGCATGGAGTCAGAGATAGGGAGTTACAATCAGTTCATCACAGGTTTCTTCCACTGCTCAGGAAGAAGGGTCCTTGCCCTGCTCCAGCATGGGAATTTTCAATTCACATTTGCCTTATTTCAATGTATAGCTACCTTTACTGTTTTTTTACCATGGGAAACTTGGTGGGTCTTCTCCTTCTCAGTATTCTTATAGTTCAGAGTTTAGCTGAGATCTCAAAGTCAACTTCCTTCCAAACAAAGTTCCAGTCAAAAGATTTAATTTTACAGTGCCACAGCCATGTTCAAGTAAAGGTGTGTAGTGAAACTCTTAAAGAAATTCAACTCTCCTTTAGTTCCAGATGAGCTTCAATAGCTTGAAAAGTGAGACTGGTAAAAAATTAGTGCAAGATTCGACATTATTTGTGTGCCAGTGGTTTTCTGTTTGTTTGCATCCCAAGAAGGGATTCTCTCTAATCTCTGTTTCATCACACTGCAGATGTGATGCAGACTTGTCATCCAAGTCTGTGAAGTCATACTGTAGCTTTTACAATTGCTGGAAGATGCATTCTGCAGTCAGGTGGATACTTTGCTTTTATTGGTTTTGTTTCTCTTCCATCCCACTCCACAAACCCTCATTAATTGCAGAATTGAGCTTCATGAAGCTGAAAATTTGTGTGTATAAATGGGCCCTGTCTGAAAGAATTTGTGTAGGAAAGAGTCATATATGCTAGATCTACAACAGTCAATAACAAAGAATCACTCTGTCACTCAGAGATGTGAATATTCATAGAGAACAGAATGATTCTTGTTTCTTGCTCACCACAGTGGTTTCCACTCAAATTCAGTAACCATCTTCATGGTTCAGGTAATCATCAGTTTACCTTTTCTGTGGTGAAAGCTGGATAAAGATAGACTGTGTTTTGTAGCTGAGAACTTGGAATGTCATATCAATAAAGAAAAGAAATGTAGTATGGAAATAGATATTTATTTTACTGCTGCTTTGAACTACTTGGTAGTGTCTGGTAGTATCTTCTACTTAACATGTATTACCTAATCTGTTTGAGCCCAAAGTCTAATCCTGAAGAAAAAAAAATCTAGCAACCTCATTTGCAGAAATATTACAACTTTACAATATTACAATCCTGTATCACTCTCTTAGCATCTCTCTTCACAGACTTTTTCTTGCTTTTGCGAGGAATTGGTCCTTATGTGGAAGGAAATTTGCAGTTCGCTGAGGATACAGCAGAGGGTGCTGGGCTCCCTCTAAAGAAATTCACTCATCACTGCTCTTTGGCTAAGGGGACTGCAATCCAGTCTGTGGCCTTTCCGGGATGGAACTTCCATGGAAAGCTGCAGACGGTGACTGACGGGAAGAGCGAGGCTGTGATGTAGAGTCCGAATGTGAAACATCAGAAAAGCACCCGGAGGTGAACAGCAAATGTGAGGGACTACATAAGGTCACTGGAAGTCAAAACTAGCTCAGATACAGGAGTCTTCAGGGATGTGAAAGGTGAAAATGGAAGCAGGGCTCAGTCATACTAGGGAGGGTAAGCAGTAGTGGTCTGAAGGAATAAATTATTTATTAATTTTGTAAATTTCTGAACAGAGGACCTTGGCAATGCACAGTGGATATTCAAGACTTCAGCACTAAGAAGCAGCAGCTGAAGCTATGCTGTGTAACTTTGAGAAACAGCCTGAACTGACCTCCAGTTCTTAGTTTCTCTCTGCAGCTTTCTGGCCTTAAGGCATAAGAGGGCACTAATTTATCTTTTTCAGTTTTCTGGGAGAGAACACGAATATATATTTCACTACAAGGGTGTTTTATGCACACACCAACAATAGCAGAGGATTTTATTACGAGACAGAATTGTGCTATTCATGCAATGGGGTCAGCACTCAGGCTGAAGGTATCCTCTTGTTTGCATTATCATTGCCAACTTCAGCTTCATTTCACAGTCATCACATCTCCCTCACAAGGTGATGCTTATGCCATATAAGGCAGCATCATGTCTATTTATTCCTGTGTGACACAAAGGAAGTCTGTTACAGACAAATGCTTGGTCTGTTAGACATAATACCTGATACTTGCCAAGGAGCATTTTCTACAATTGTGCCAATTAAAATGTGAAATTGCTACCACTTATTTTTGAACTCTCTTGTTCTGGCAGTCAGGAAAGAATGCCATAACTCATCAAGATGCAGCACTGTTGGTTTATCTATGATAGCCCTATTTTCCCTCTAGAATTTAACCTGCTCCTGACCTGAGGAAATGCAATTTGATAATTCTCTCCTTCTGTGGTCTCTGTGTCAAAAATGCCAACATGCTTCAGTCTGGAGATCAGCTTTGTGTGCCTTTGGAGCACATGCTGTTTCTCATGGTCCATTGTACCAGAGTCCTTCTGCAAATCTCTTTTGTGCAGATAAAAACTGCTTTGCAAATAGGAGGACACTGCTCATGTCCACTGTAGTGTTTGGGATTCTTCCACATTGTGCCTTTAGGATTGCTGGGTATCCCACCAACTCCAGAAAGACTTAGCACTGCTGTGATCTGCATCACAGGAACCACTGACTGCTACAGCATGTTGCAGGGAAACCTGCCTTTTGTAACAACAGGATTGACTTGCTCAGTGTCTCCATGAGAAGGTTCTGCCCTGAGGATCCTTTGTCTCATGTGTCATGTGAGCTTTGGGCAACTCTTCCCTTGGTTATGTCTAAAGCTCTGATAATCTTTCCCTAGAAGTGGTATTAAATATTTGTCCTGAACTTTAATACTAAAGTAGTGCTGGGGACTAGTGTGCCAGCTGGGTGTCTGGTATCTGGAGGGATGGGGAAAGAACATTTTTGGAACAAAATGGAAAATTTGTGTGGTGACAAGGTGGGGAAGGACATGACTCTGAGTGTGAAATGTGAAAAGCTTTTCAGTGTTGGGAGTCAGTGAGAAATCTCTGTTAGCAAGTCACTCAGTTTGCCACCAGCAAAACAGGAAAAATCTTTCTTTTCTGCAAGTGGAGAGGGTTGCTTTCCTTTTTGACACATGGGACATGGGGAAGGTCCCTTGCAGCCCCTGCCCCCAGCAAGCAGCAGCCCTCTGACCTTGCTGCCATAGAACTATTCAGAAGCCACCAAATCTAGAAATGATTGACTGTTCTACATCATGGTCCACCTTGAAAAAATCTAAAACTGGTGGTGTCAAGGCCCACATGTAAAAATACTGCAGAAATTGAGCAATGCTGAGAGGTTCCAGGTTCCTCCTTGCACTCTGGAGGATCACCCCACACTGGCAATATTTTGTCCTAACCAACCCAGGGCCTCCCAGATAAAGGCACACAACACATTTCTGATCAGGGCAGTCTCCACAACAAGATCAAGGGCTGTCTATCCCCATGTTAAGGCATCTGGAAGAAAAAACACAAAAGAGAGGAGGAAATCAGTCCCACTAGACATTCCTAAAAGCTTTTTCTGGCCCCTGCCTTAACCGAGCACACATTTTAGCCATGTTTCACATCCTTGCCTAGCTCAGTGTTGAGCCAAACAGAAGCTGACTTTGGAGATGGTCTAAGTACATCTGTGTCTTTATGCATTTGGCTGTGCAGAACACGGTAAAACAAATAATATTTCAGCAATCTCCAGCTCCTCTGAGCTCAACCACTTTGAAACAGGCAGGACAGAGCTCCAAGAGTTATTGTGGGTGACGACAGGCAAGGCTTGGTGTGATGGGAGTGAGGAACAGATGGGCCATTTGGGATTACCCAGACTAGTTTCAACTATGTTCTTGACCTAGGTCTGCACACAGGACCCAGGCTGGGAAGAGTCAGCTCTTAGGAGGTCACCTCCTGTTATGCTGTCACCTGTAACATGGGAACATTATAAATCAGGATGGTGCAGGGGAGAGGAAGAAAAACCTGGCT